GGACGCGCGTTCTTGCTTCCGCCGTATCTCGGTCGAAAAAACGGAGGAACAAAGAAACGAGAAACCTAACCTGCTACCAGTATAGAGGGGTTCGAGTCTTTGCTAATCGTACTTGTTAATCGTATACACGTACCGCAGCGCGGAAACCATTTGTGTCGCATCGGTGTTTAGCTTCGGTGTGCGGTATCGGGTATTGATTAAATGGGAGGACGAGAACGAGAACGCGAACGCGAAGGGAAACGGGAAACGGGAAACGGGAAACGAGAGAATCAGGAGACTGGAATTGGAAGAGAGGCGGCGACGAGTAAAGTCGGAGAGATAGGCAGACAGACAGACAGGTAGACAGGTAGAGAGTCAGGCAGACAGATAGAAAGAGAGAAATGCAGCGCGTGTCGGTGACCGTCGGAACGATCCGCGGCGCAAAAGCGGAGCAAAGGGGGAGCAAAGGGGGAGCAAAACGGCCGCGAGGGGAGAGGAAACGAAAGTACGTACGGCTGTGTACCGAATATACACGCCTGTTTGATTCGCCGATTTGTCGGTGCGTCTTTGGATTTTTACCCGATATTCTCTACAGTTCGCGGACGCGAACCCCACGATTTCTTCAAAATAATTAGCATTAGATGCGTCTCAACCGATCGTGACAGGGCCGTTTTTGCCGCTTCGTTTCCGCTGGCCGGGACACGGTACTCGGCGAAATGCGAACGATTATGTTGCCATTCTCATTATTGCCGGGTAAGAAGGAAACGCCATTGAAGCGTTCGTGCAGTATGCTGCTTATTACGGACTGCGGAAAGCCCTGGAAAACTGGAAAAAACCGTTGAACGGCGGAGAGGCGAGTTGCATCGATCAGCAGTATTATTCATTCTCGGTCTGCTCGCTCGGATTTTCCGATCCGTTTGAATAGCGATACGAAGGAGAGGAAATTTCGATGAATACCATCGAGTTAGTTTAATTGGTTCGCTCGGTGGGAATTCGATCGACTGCGTATTGAATTGAAAGAGCACTCGTTCGGCTCCGCTTTGATCGTCGGGAGGTGTAGCGCCGAGTCGGCCATCTCGCGATCAGCGACAGCAATGGCACGCATCGGCAACGACAACACAGGCATTTTTGGCTCTATGCCTGGAGGCGGATGGCGTGTAGCGACTAGCGAATGACGGCTGTCGGTGCCGCGGAACATCGGAACGAGGGTGAATCTCGGTGAGTCACCGAGAAAACCCCGAGAAAACCTCGAAACCATCTTCGATCCCTTCCCGTTCTGCTCCCGAATCGCGTGAGTCATCGACGTCGATCGAAACGCAGGCAACCCGGCAGTCTCGAAACGCGCCGCGCCAGTTTCTTCCGAGGGAAAGAGAGAATCTTGGTCCTCCGAGCACCGGCTGTGGGCCTGGTTCTATCGATTCGCCGGGGAAGCCGGGCAGAAACGACGCGTAACGCGTCGCGCGTCGCGCGTACCCAAGAAACATTCCCGTAGCGTTGCAGGGAAATGCGCGGCCGTTCCTCTGTTATCGTATCGTCGATTCGCGTACCCATTTTCTCGGATCCAGCAGCATCGATATACGGAAGAACGTGGCGCGGCCGACGAATCGATAAAAGATGCACCGACGCGCGACGTTCCACGAGACGGCGCGGCGTCGGCCGATTCCGCGTTTCGAAACGATCAGGTCGCGATACGTTCGCTGGAGACCTCTGGCCGGAGGATCAACCTGTATCGTAACAGATGACCCGCGACGCGTAACGGACGATCGAACGGCGTTACTCGCGCAGAGGAATGGCCTCGCTTCGTCAAGGAAACGGCGACGCGATCAGTCTGTGAATCGTCGTTCGGCGTAATTCGGCCAAGATTTACGGTTCACGCTCGCTCGCAGCCGCTACCACGCGCTCGCGTATCGAGCTATTTCCGTAGAGACGCGGGGAAAGCCAAACGAACAGCGAAAATGGAACGAGCGACATATGGGAATGAACCGTGCGCGCGTCGCGACTGCGATGCCCAATCTTCGCGCGGCGACCTCTTAGCCCGTCGCGGTCGTCGCCAAGATCGGGTGAAAGATTAGGTTTCACTGGAGTTCTTCGACGTTTCTATTCTGTGGTCGAATAGGAAACTCGTGAAGCTGTAAAACTGATAGCGGCGGTTCGGCTTTCCACTCGAAGAGCTGGGAAGAGTACCGATACTTCGGTTTATTATTTATTACTTGTTACTTATTACGCCTGGAACGGAGCCCGTCCAATTTGAAAGCGGCAACAAAGCGTGATAGCTGCCCTGGCAATTCGCCAGCTACCACTCGTCCGCGCTATCGATGCGCCCCGTGCTGACCGATAAACGGCAAGGATCGCTTTATTGTCTCCGACGAACGAATGCAGGTCGAGAATCTATCCAGGGAGGCAATTTTCGTTGGAACAGCGTCGAATTCGATAAAGATAGGTCATTCGTTCGCCAAGGTTGCTGCAGCTAATTCGTTCGGAAATTCGTAGCTGACAGAGCGGGGATGTTCCGTAGTCATGGCGACAAGCTGACTCACGAGGCGAGCGTTGGCGCGAGAAGCTCTAGCCTCGCGGACGATCGTTCCGCTTCCCCTCTCGCCTCGCCGAACGCACCGCGCGACGATTCGAACGGAAGGGTGCTCGAGGAAACTAGACAAGGAAACTCGCCGGAATCCGATTCGGTACGAGCGAATATTTCGCCAAGGGCTTTCGGTTCTTCGCGACTCGGATTCACCGGTCCGATGGGTCGTCGGATCGATGGTCGGACGATTAGACAGTCGCTGGGCGCGACCTCGGCTTTCCGCAGGGTTGCGCGATGGGAGCGCATTAGCGCAAGCGCCCGAGCATTGTCTATTAGAACCCCGAACCGTCGCGTTCCGATCATTTACCTTTCAACGATCTTTCGGCAGCTTCGATCGGAAAGAGATCCAGGAGCGATCGTGTTCGGTCGCGTGCAACTTTCGATCCCTTGAAACCGCACGGATGGAACGGCGCAATCAGACGTACGGAATCTGGATTTTTTTCGGAAATGCTCGTTGAAGCGGAAACGCTCGCACGCGGGGAGGCCTCCTCTCGTCGGTACGGTCGGGACAACCGACGCCAGGAGCTAGGAAAACAGTCGGTTCCCGAGTATGGCTTTTCAGCAACGCGACGCGCCGGGAAACCTTTAGGAGCCAGAAATATTGCCGAGATATCCGAGCGTTTTCACCAGTTTACCCATTACCGTTTCTCGTTCGTCTATCCGAGTCGTCTCGGTTTCCGTTGATCCGAATGAGCCAAGTCGATAACCAAGGAACTGTCCGGTGGAACGTTGCTCGTTAATCGGCTGATTTTTTGGCTGATCGCCAGAAAAATTTGATAACGGAACGCGTCTGTCGACAAAGAGGCAGGGGATAATTGGTAACTGGGAGGTTTCTAGCCGGAAAAGAGGAGAGAGAGGAGAAGAGAACCCGAGGATCGAGAGTCGCGTTCGTACGAGCGATAGAAACGGCGCTTCGATCGTTCGCAATCGCGATCTCGATCGAATTGGATTTCCTCCGGTTCTCCTTAAGCGTGGCCGAACGCGTAGCGTCTAAATCGCAAATGCAGTTACTACTCTCCCACGGGCCTTTCGCGTCAACGACGAACGGTTCGATCGAAGAAAGTCTCGACCACTCGTGCGTTCTAATGAAAAGCGAATCGTCTGTTCCAGGTATCTCGTCGCCCTGAAAAATGTCCGAGATCTCGAGACCTCGTGTCGATCGTTCGAGAGGAATTCCCTGGTAACCGGCGGCGATCGGGAACGAAAGGAATCGCAGGGATACGCGACCGGCAAACGGCTGCTGCTCGACAACACCGAGAAAAGGAGGATTATTGGACGACGAAACGACGAAACGGCGAAGCGAAACGGCGCGGATGTTTGATCGAACGGTTTCTCGACTCGTGCTTTTTCAGAACAAGATGTCAATGACTGGGAGCTTGATGGGCTATGAAAATAACAACGAGGTGAACCAAGCGAAATGCAAAAAACCATTGAAGCCGCTTCCGATCGTGTCCAGCATAAACTCGAGCGGCGCCGCTGCGACGAGCAAAGTGAAAAAGACGCGCAGCTCGAGCAAACGAAACTCGTGCATACGAGGCCACGTGAACAGCTTGTGGTCCGTTTGGTACGGCATCCTGGCGGTTTCTCTGCAAGCTTACATCGGCCTGAGATACGCGAAGAGGTTCGCCGGTAAGTTTCCCGGAAATTTCGGCCGCGAACCGAGCCGTCGTCGCCTCCCAGTGGCTCGACGCAATCAACGAACAATTCGAAATTACGCGCGTTTAATACTGTTCGCTTTGCAGCATACGTCTCGCTGCCATGGCCGGCGGATGCGCCTCCCCCAAAGTTGGAATTGTACGCTTGTCTGGTGTTGGCCGGCACCGGGGTGGTTCTGCTTCCGGTGCTTCTCGGCGCGGCGTTTCTGAAACTCGGCAACCTGGCCAACGATGGGATCAAACTTGGCCGCCATTTGAGCGCGTGCTCGCGCGATCCGCCCTCCTCGTTGCTCGCCAACAATCACGACCACAGTGAGTACGCTTCCGAGGTGTTCCCCTCCTCCAACGATCGGTGTCGCCGTGAACCGCCGCTGATTCCTCGAAACGATTCGCAGGTCTGGCGAACAATTTATGGCGACACGGGGGCCCTACAGCGGCGTTCGTGCACCTTTGCACGGCCATGTGCTTCCTCCTGCCTTCGCTGCTCATGGAAGCTAGGCTCATACATGCCGGATTTTTGCCGAAAGGTAACTTTCTACCAGTTATTTCGCTCTTTTGCATTCCCGTTTCACACTCGCCTCGTTGGTTCCTTTAATATTTTCCTTTACGTCGCGTCGCGTCTCGTTTCGCCTCGTCGGTTTCCTCCTATGCCGAGGAACATCTGTCAAACGATAGTTTTCTTTCACAGACGCAATATGGCGAACGGACCTCGACTGGGTTGTGATTCATCGCGATCGACTGGTCGTGTCCAGTTTCCTGAATCCGAACGTGAACCTGAGCATTCTAACTGGTTTTATAACTCCTCAGCCTTTCGTTACTTTAACGCCGCACCAGGAAATCGAGGAATCGCCGGACGACGTCGTACCGACACCGGGCGCGACGGGCGTCGGGATCGACGATGCCGTCGAGTCTCGTCCCGGGGACGCGTCGGGAACGTTTCTCGGCTCGTTCCGTTCCACGAGTATCGGACAGATTCCGTCGAACGCTCGGTTTTTAAATACCACTCCGAGAACGATCGCGAACGGTCGCAACGCGGACGAGTCTTCGAGGGCGGAGAACGGCGGCGCGACGTCGGTCAAAGTAACGGCCGCGTCGACCGCGTCGAATCTCCCCAAGGAGACCGGGCCAGAGCTGACAACGAGGATGATCGCGACCACGATAGAACCGGCGACGAGAGCCAAGACGAGAGCTCGCGCGTCGATGCCAGCCACCGCCGCTACGACGCCGGTAACGGCAGGCTCGGCGAATACGTCGACGATTACCGCGATCTTAAGGTCGGCGAATGCAACCTCGAGAACCTCGAAGAACGCCACGGACAAATACGCGGCCGCCGCTAGACGGCCAACCGCGAAGACCATTCTCAGAAACGCTCATTCGAAGAACAGGTCGAAACCGAAGGGTTCGGCGAGAGTCTCCTCGACCGTCAGACCCGTTAGATTGGCCAACGACGGAGGGAACATGTCGGCGCAGACCATGGCGCTGACGATGAACAGTTTAGCCGATCTGGACCATCCTGAAAAATTGAATCTCGAAATCGAAACCGGTAAGCATCTGTCGTTGCCTTTTTTCAGTCTGTTTCGAGACCCGATATTTGCTATTTGATATTTAATATTCGGTATTCGATACTCGATATTCGATACCCGATATTTAATATTCCCCCTTTTACAGCGTTTACCGATGGATTCGGAGATACGAACAAAATTTCTTGTTTCTTTCGACGTTCTTTCAGCCGAAACTTACGGTCCCGTTACTTTGGAGTATTTGAACTACGCCGTGGCTCTCGCAGTGTACTCCGTACGGTATCCGGCGGTATTTTGGTCCTGCAACAAGGCGTTGGGCACAATTTTCAGCGTTCAGTTGGTCATGAACTCGGCGCAGAGCTTGTTAGCGTACGTCGGCATGTCCGTTCTGTACAAGGTAAGCGAACGAGGCGGAAACGAAATCTGCCGGACGAGGGGCGTGCGTCTAATCGGCCGTCGATGTTCAGGTTCAAGTTGTGGGACCGTTGAAAGTGTTGCCCGTTCTTCGACAACAATACCGGACGCTGTCGGGGTCCAGTAGCGGCGGCGCCGGCGCCGGCAGCGGCACCGGCAACCCGGGCAACGCGGCCAACGCCGGCAGCAGCGGAAACAGCATCGCCGCCGCCGGCTCGTCCATCACCGGTACCACCAGCATATCAACGATTTTCGGAGATTCCTATTTCCTATTGAATCCGCACGTTACTCTCGTCCTGTTCGGTCTCTCCTCTCTTCTAGTGCTGTGTTCCAGCATGGTGATGTACTTTTACGCTTACGGCAGGTCAGTGGACTCGCAGCTGCGAACCGAGGAAACTCGGGTATCCTAGAAACTAATCCAACATGGAAATAATTCACAGATTCACGGCCTTCCTGAATCAGGAGCGCGAACGACGAGTGATTCTGCCGAAGGAGAATCGCGAGCGGAACGGCTGGGTGTATTTCATCCATTGCACCGCCCTCTGCGTGTTTCTGGCGATCGCGATCTGCAGCGCGCCGTTGCTCTACGACTACAGCGTCGTGTATCGCGCCAGCCTGGACGGCGCGATATTGGCGTGCATCGTTGCGACCGTTCTCCACCTGTTCCTGTGGCTGCTCGTCTGGATCTGTCTGACCATAAAGCACCGATGGACGTTCAAGCTCAGGGTGACGATCGGTCGCGCGACCGTCCGATCGGCGAGGTCCGTGAAGCTCGTGACCGACGTTGATCTACTGTCGGCCAAGGACGAGGAGGACGGCACCAGCGCGCCGTTGCTGGTCGTGGGTAACGGTCGGACCTACACCATTGCCGACGCGTCGCCGAAGAAGGCCATCATGAGCGTGATACAGAAGGCGGCCATCGAAAGGAAGGCGCGCGCCCGAGGTAACGCTCGATCCAATTGTTTCTCCTCGAGTCGATCCAGACTCTCCCGATCTCTATCGTTGCGCCTCTGCAGGGAACGCGGACTGCGTCGATGGCGACTCGACGGCAGACGACGAGCAGATCTACTGGTTGAGGCCTAAACTTCGACCGTCGCCCACGCAATCGCCGAGCAACGCGAACGGTGCACCGACCATCGAAAAGGGCTGGCTGAACAAGAAATTGAAGCCCAAGGTCACCTTTAACGACCTGCCTAGTACGTCAGGCTCGCGGTAACTACCCTCCTCCCTCCTCTTGGTGTCTTTCAGTACATCTCGCCGTCACCCGTGTCCTCTGCTGCTTCTTCTTCTTCTTCTTTTTCTTCTACTTCTTCTTCTTCTTCTTCTTCTTCTTCTCCTCCTCGTCCTTCTCCTCCTGTAAACTGCGCGGTTCTCGGTGAAGGGCCAAGGTAGATTTTCACTATACGAGAATACGAGACATGTTCCACGAGAATCGATTTGCCTCGAGAGTTAACGTTGCATCTTGTACAAGCTCCGGCTATTTCTCTTGCGCTTAGTCTCGCACTGGCTCTTGCTTGTTCCTGTAACTTTCCGTCCTGCTAACCACTGTACGAGATGGTTCGTCCTGGTTCCATCGTGACCGACCGTTAACGATCGTCAACCGGATCGAAAGCCCGTCGTACGACCAGGAACGACCCATCTTATCCCCGTTATTAAACGCTGGATACATATCGGTCGACGGACCGCGTCGAAGCTACCGTATTTGGACGCGTTGCTTTGTTTCAGTAATAAGGGAAAAGCCAGACGAGGTGGCGGTGTCGGCGATGGAGCTGGGCCCGAGGATGACGGAGATTACGCTACGCTACGAGAATTACCGTTGATCACGTCTTTAGATCCTGCCGACGATTCAACGTCCGAGGAGAACAAGGTACATATGCGCGGTCCGCCGTTTCGTCGTTTCATCGTTTCATCGTCTGATCGGCGTTCCATTTCATTTCTCTCGTCTCGCCTGACGATTCTTTCGTGCTCGATACAGGAACTTGTCTCTTTCTCTTTACTCTCTCGCTCCCTCTCCCTCGCGCTTGTTCGTCTCCTCTGCTTCTCCGTCGGGTTTTAATTCGTTCTCTTTTGCTCAACAGTGGGGAAGGTGGCTGATAGCCCATAGGGACTCTGTACCAAAATTCGGAAACGTAAGACGCAAGAAAATCTGATTTCTCTGTTTTCCCATGCTTGACAACAATACTAACAGTCGCGTGTGCGCATATCGATAGTTTGCGTGTGAGAGGGTGATTTCCCGGTACGATGATACAGTAGGCGCGATCACGAGAAGCTTTACGGTAGACGAATGTGATCGAATCTAACACGCATTAACCCGCGCAGCTGTTGCGTTTACCTATCGAACGTTTAACCATTGGCACTCCGTTGGAAATCTGGCGACGCCGACGGTACAGTCCTCGCACTTGGACGACTCTTTGCTTAAACTCTCGAGTTAAATCCAGTGATCGTAGTAGGTACGATGAAAGCAAACGCCGCGGCGTTTGCCGTCCCCCTCCGACCTTCGCTCCGTTTTTCCCTCTGGCCGTTTCGATTCTCCTTCGCTTTCGTTTTTCCGTAGGAAATCTGTGTCGCTCGACTGCAAGAGAATCTTGAAAGTGCATCGAATTAATCGTTACCAATTTTTAACAATTTTAACAGTTGCTCGAGTGCGTAAACGACGACCAAGTGACTTACTACGCGAGTGCGAACCGCGATCTACAACCTTCGGAAGGTGATCCCTCGCCTCTCTTGACTCCAGACCCTATGTCCGATCCCGCCTCGGAGCCGCTTCCATTGCCACCTCCGACTCCAACACGCGCACCGAGCACCGAAGTTATCACGGCGTCACTAACCACTAACATTCAGGTACTAACACACACTTAACATAGAGCTTAACGTAATTTCTCGTTCGGGTGAGCCAACTATTCTACGAGCAGAGCATTCGACGCGTCGGTGCAACGGGAAAGCGAAATTTCCGATACGAGTCGAAAGCGCTTCGAATGATTTGCGGAGACTATAGTTCGTTCGCCCGTTCCGCGCGGACGCATCGGCCGCGTTCGTAATCTTCTCGAGTATCCCGAGCAAGCACTTGCAGCTGTACGACTGTACGACTGTGCAACGCACGCCCACACGATCGCACGATCGCACAACTGTAAAATCGAAGCGCGGGGCGCGTAGGGAACAGCGTGCCGCGGAAGAGAAAACATTGGAACGAAGAAACGGGCGTGTTCCTCCCGTCGTTGTCGTCGGTGATGATCGGTTGATTCGTTTCAGACGAACGGAGGACAAACGCCTCGCTGCTTGCGCCGAGCAGACTCGGGGATGCCCCACGACGAGTTGACGCCTCGCTCGGATTCCTCCAACTCACCGCCGTTGGAGGGAGCGGGCGGCGGCAGCGGAGCTGGCTCGGTGGCCGGGCACAGCAACGGGAGCAGCCACAGCGAAACCTCGTCGAGCGGAGTGCACAGCAACGCGAGCAACGCCAGCAACGCCAGTAACGCGAGCAACGCCAGCTGCCAACGACGAGCGACCAGCGTCGACGACTTGACCGGCGAGCATCGAGTCGGCGAGGAGCCGCGAGAACAATGGCGCAGCTGTTCCTTGCAGCGGGGCGTTCAACCACCGACGGCCGTCACCGGTACCTTTTCGTCGCCGACGGGCCGACCCGGTGCCACCGGCGGTGGCCATTCTTTCGCACCGTCGCACTACGCGAATCACGTGTCGTTGCTGGCGAACGCGAACGCAAACGCAAGCGCGAACGCAAACGCGAACGCGAACGTGAACGCGAACGCGACCGCGATCTTCAGCGACGCGGTTCCCGGCTCCGGATCCGGCTCCGTTTCTCTGACCGTCACCGTCTCCGGCTCCGGAGCCAGCTCCGGCTCCAGTTCCAGTTCCGGTCCAATTCCCGGTTCCGGCACCGGCACCCCTTGTTCGGCCGTTATTCTCGAGAATCCGAACGAAGCGACGGTCGTCATCAGACGCAAATTATCGAGGACGAAGCTAACGGAACCGTTGAACCCGAACGAAGAGCCGTTTGGTCGTTCGACGAACATGAGAATGACGTCGTTCACGGAGAGCAACGACATTCGGGTGCACGCTTCGTCCGCCACGTTGCCTCATTACCCGACCCAACCGATCGTCACCTACCCCCATTGCTCGACCATGCCGTTGCCCCACGTGTCCCACGCGAGCGTCGCGGGCTCGCACATGAGCGGGTCGAGCGGCAGCTGCGGGTCCGTGCCTCGGCACGCGTACGTCGCGCATCCCCCGCAGATGCACTCGAGCACGGTCCCAGCGCACACGACGTTGCCCTCGCACCATAACGGCGTTAGACTTTTGCACCCGGTACCGGCCAACAATCCCTTCGTCAAGCGATTCCCACCCGTCCCGCTGCACGCGCAAACTTGGGCTCTTCCGGGTCACCACACGTTCCCTCAGACACCGCAGACGAACGGCAAGCTGTCGGTGGCTGCTCAAATCAGGCAAACCGACCGCGACTCGGCCAACTTCTCCATGGCCAGCAGCGGCGATTCGGACACGTGTTTACCTCATTAGAATTCACTCGCGTATCATCCCATCCCGTCCCATTCCATGCCATTCCTTCGCATTACACCGCATCGCGTCACGTCGCATTCTAGGTAGATTTTTCATAGACTCTTTCGAAGGAAACGACCACCGCAAACTTGTCGAACGAACAAAAGGTTTATCGCGCGATAGTTGTTTCAATGCTACCCGGACTTCTATATCCTCGAATGATAAAGATTGCTTTTCGCGTCTACCGGACGCACGGTTACATATCAAACACATTTCTGTTTCACCGAAGCGGAGAACGCGGATCGACCAAAGTAAAGGTCTATTTTTAATACGGTCGCGACTCTTTACCAAATGTTCATCATATCAACCGTTTCCCGATGCTTCGACCAATAATTAAGACGAATATTGAAAGTGGATTTTTCCCGATATCGACGACCGTGAAAACGCGCTTGACAATAGAACGCGAGTATCGTCTCGTTGCAAACATATCTCGCGAGTTTAGGACCCCGTTTCTCGTTCATCGTCGGATGCGAGCACTCGAAAACTGTTCCCCCCCTTCGGGATTGAATTTCAACTGCGAGCGATCCGCTAATTTCGATGCGATCGGGCGAAGCCAATCGGAAACGCGATGCGGTAGACGATGCGCGATACTCTTACCGAATAATCGATTTTCCGGTTAATTATAATACTCGACTGTAATACTCGCGATTTGCTTTTAGAAATCACTAGCATCCGAGATTTCCAAGTAACCCTCGAAAACGGCGCACGAATCGTGTGTCGTTCGATTCTTTACAAATACCTCTCATTATTATTACTATTATTATTATTATCTTTACCACTACTACTACTATTGTTACTACTACTACTACTACTACTACTACTATTACTACTACTATTACTACTACTACTACTACTGCTACTACTACTACTACACTGCTACTACTGCTACTACTATTACTACTGCTACTACTACTACTACTATTAATACTATTAATACTACTATTAGTTCTTCCATCTCCGAGGACTGTATATCTCGACTATCGCCAACATCCGATAATCTAAGGGATGGTGAGAATATCTTGGCATCTTCTGTGATTGGTTCCGGAGTTAGTGGTTTTAACAGTTTGACAGATTCGGCGGATTTCCGTTCCAAGAATACAGTAGCCATACATCTGGATTATTATGAAATTCTGGTGTAGCGGTTAACCGCGCGCACCGCTGGTAACAGAAAAACGGTATATTTCTCATGAATCGGATGACACCACGGGAACGTTATTTCTTTTCTTTCGCCGACTCGTTAGACGTATACGCGATCCATTCGAGACTTTCGAGGCCAGAAATACCGCGGCGAATGGTCGTTCGATTTTCCAGGCGCATAGACATGTCCATTATCGATCATCATCGGGTTTCCGAGAATTTCCTGATACTCGTAGGTCTTACTCGGCGAGTCCTTGCTACGGTACGCCAGGTACGACGTTCCGACTGGGTGATAACTAATTAGTTACTTTAATCGGTCAGTTGATCGATTAAAGAAACGATACACTGGAGAAATCAGTGAAGCGCTTAGGCAGATGCAGAGAAAGTGGTAGACGGAATCGAGTTCGTATTTTCAGACTCGTAGGTCTTGAATTACGATCAGGTATTCTGCCTATACCTATAATTAAGGATCCGATAACTCGCTTTTCGCGCGTGCTGTCTCGCCCAACATTTTCGCTGCTATTTCTTCCGGTTTAAACTCCTTTCCCGACAGCTGTTCCGTGCGCGCGAGCGCGTGTTCGGACGAAGATTCGGGGACGGCGTTTAAAAGCGGAAGCAAAATGTAAACGAAGGAAAACTAGGTTGTAAAGCGGATCGATGCGACGCCGGTCGCACGGTCCGATAACGTTAGACGAGATCGGCACGCGACGGCTACTTAGGAAAGATTAAGGGAACGACTACTGCCATTAATTACGAAGATCTAGGGATCTCTATTATATAGGTATTTACTTTTTCGATCGACTGCCACGTTGTTTCGTTCTTTCGCGGATTCACGGGGGTCAACGTTTACGGGCGTCGATGCGTTTCGCTTTCTTCCACCGCAACTTCCTCCCGCGCCAATGCTCGTAACGTACGCGATTTTACTTTAGTTTTCCAGCTCTGCAAGTATCTTCGAAGACGCGTGAGACGATGAGCGCGCGATATACCGGTCGAATGCGTCCGACCACGTACACGCATACGCTGTCGTGCAATGCATCAACGTCGCGCCAATATCCTTCACCGAGAAGCGATTCGGAATGGCCCGAAGCCCCTTTCGACCGATCGAACAACCTACGCGTGCGTTTTTGCGTCTACGTTCGCGTCCGCGTTTGCGTTCGCGTTTGCGTTTGCGTTTGCGTTTGCGAATCGACGCGACGAGACTCGTCGTCTTTGCTCGTTATCGACATTTCAAGTTGGTGTTTCGCGCTTCGACGATAAAGCGAAAGGACATGTACAACGAACGTATTCTTCGTGTTTTTCTTTCGTCGGGGGATGGCTACGATAACAGGAACAGAGGTTTTTCACGCGCGTACGCTTGTAGCAAATCGTGACGCATTTAAAAAACAGATGATAGTATTTTTGTGAGCGATCTTTACAAACGATTCGGTGTGCACACGCAATAACGAGAGTAACGCGGCACGGTAACAAAGATAAACCACACGAAACTTTTAGAGGAAAACGTAAATGCGATGCACGTTTGTGTTAGTCGAGAGGAATTAGAGGATTTTCTATTACATTAGAAACGCTGCTCAAAGAGACGCGAAGGAACAAAGAGTATCTTTATTTTCAAGAATTTTCTAACCGTCGTGAACGGAGTGAGTGTCGTAGTGCTAGAAAACTCGGAGAATCCCACAGGACACGCGTAACTGCTGGCACGTTGCGGTAGACGCGTTTTCCGAAGTATCCCGAGCGAAGATGGAATCAAGATCGTAGTCGACTTCGAATCACGTGCAAACCGATTGTACAGGTGTCTCCTTTAGACGTGATCGAGTACAGCCGAGTCGAGTAGATGTTTAAATCGTAATCACATGTATTTTTTATGCACTTTTTGCGCTAACGAAACCGACCAAGTCGATCGATTTTACGCAACGCGAACGCGCGTCGAACAATCAAATGCGTTCGGCTGCGGATCTATTTTCGAATAGTGTTATGATTCGTCGATTGGCGTCGATCCCTTATTTCCCATGGAACGTCACCCTCACCTCCCCCAGTGCGTCCCGTTCAACGGCCAGGCCCCGATCGCAATGCCGATTCGGTAACGGACCGGACACGAACGAAACATCTCTTGTCTCTCTGATTTTGTTCACGGACGGATCGTGAGCGATGCCTTGTCGCGTGCTACACCTCGGACGCATCGCGGCCTCGGCTATTCGAATAGATTATGCGAGAGAACCCCGGCAACTTTTATACCTCGGTAGGATCGGATAGTTAGTTTCAATTTTTTCGCGAGAAAATACAAAAAAGCAGAGAAAAAAACAAAGATTCGAATTTATTCTTCTATGATCGAAAGCATCGAAACAAATGCAGTCAAAGCTTTATAATGTCGACGAAGAACACGGGAAAGCGTAGCAGAGCATAGCGTAGCTTAACGTAGCGTAGCTTAACGTAGCGTAGCTTAACGTAGCGTAGGAAAGCAAAGAGCAAAGGAAAGAAAGGAATATTCCTAAAATACGATTGCGCGTGTACGTGCTTTTTCTTCCTGCTGGTGCGCGAAGGCGCGGAAAGCTGTTGAAACGCGAATCGGTTCCGTTCGTTGATTAGGCGCCACTCGGCATTATTCTATGGTTCCGGCAGATCAGACGGCAACGCGAGCGAATTCGATTCTCGGGGATCGGTTCGCTCGTTGATCGGGCAAAATAATAAAGCTTTCACTGTACTTGTATATTTTTCCATGCGAACTTTACGCGTATCGATAATACTTGAGAGAAACTTGATTCCATCTTTGCTCATAGTTGATAAAATCGCCCATCGGCGGTTGACATTTATGGGCATGAAGCGAGGGAAACTAAATGCGGAGATAGGGGGCAGGATTTTGAACGCGACCGTTTCGAACGGCCGAGTTACCGCGAATCGACCAATTCTATCGTAAATTCCGGAGCGGCGTGCGCATGTAACGAAACACTGTTAGTTGCGGATTCGTTGAAAGATCGCCATGCGGTGCCGATCGTCGTACATATCGCGACGGTTCGGGTAAACGCGAACCGTCTGATCGTTCGGTGATGGACGATAATCAGCAATATCGGCGGCAAGAATGTTTGTATCGAGAAAGGCGGTGAGAAAGTTCGGTGAAAAGCGGACGATCGGGCCAGTGCCGTCTCTCGCGAAGGCATATTTTTTTACCGTTTACCGTTCGGCGTTCAATGTTTAACGTTCGACGTTCGACGTCGGTCAGCTACCGAACTCTGTTCGTTTTAGATTCAGCTAGAAGTTTAGATTCAGCCCGCAACAAACATACATATGTACTTGTACGTAATATCGAGGAAGAAGGCATTGACTTCTTCAAAGAATACTCGGAGAATATCGGTTCCGCGCGGACCTCCTGGCCGACTGCTCGCGACTAGAGCGATTATTCTCCGGCCGCGAACGGTGGATACGAAATAATAAAAGAACGAGTGAGATAGATGTACGTAGAAATAAGAATGTGTGCGTGTGATACGATTAACCGCGGCGTGGTGGAAACGAACGGACGGGCAAGCAGGTAGAAACTGATCCGGTTATCCTATATTCATACGAGATGATACCCTCGAAACGTGTAAATAGGTAGAGGTCGAGTCGAGGAGAAAGGCGAATGATACGAAGCGAGAATGATTGTAAGCGAACAATTCAGCGAACATGTACGAATAATTGTATAAAGACTGATTAGACTAGCCTTGGTATTTATTCGAATACACACAGGTAACCGCTATCGCTTTGCGCGCTCTCGAATACACGTACGCAGAGACAGGCGCGCGCGCGCACACCCACACTCGCAGGACTCGGAGACAGTATACAGAAGACGGAAGACGGAAGACGGAAGACGCGCGCGTACATACAGGTACACGGAGCACGATACCAAAGGTACTTTCGACCAAACTCCATTTTTCTCTTGTTCTTTGACTCCCGTATATCGCCGGCCGCGTCCTATCGCGCCATATTGATATTCGCCATGTTCATAGTCGCCATATTCGCCGCAGTCGTACAGAATCACGGTGTCGAGGTAGTACGAGTAGATGGATGGTAACCGCAAGAATTGCCTCGTCGCTCGGTTCGACGCGAGCGGTCGGACCGACGACGGGAAAGCACGTCGGTCGACGCGATTACGTGGATTGGCAATAGCGAGTGCTCGCGGGGCCTGTCTTCTTGCCAGGCGTACCGCGTTCGCGCGGTCCACCGAGAAAGGAAGAACCGAAACCGTCGAGCTCCGTCGGAACACCAGTGACGCTTGCACGGCCGAATCAAAGAGAAACAGAAAAATGGTCAGCGCGGTTCCAACAGCGACACATTATTATCGTCGCGACGTATCAATATTACCCGATGCAACGTATAAACGAAGAAATTAGATGTAAACTTTGTATATTCATTTACCGAGAGAATAAAGGTAAATTACTCGACGATATTCAGCAGGGGCGCCGCTAATCTTCCGTACTTGCGGTGAAAAGCTCACGACAACCCCTTGTTCCGGTTGGACGAGAATGAAACGCATACGACTTTTAATACGCATCGATTCTTTTATTGGTTCAACTGAACGTATTCTTCTAAACATATCCGAATGCGCGCGCGCTAAGTTCTACTTCGCATTTATTCCAGTGAACGGTGCGTTCGAGTTCAAAGAAGCAACATCTCTCCCCGAACTGCTGGACGCGCAACTGATTCTTGCAGAACGTGATGCGCGTAAACAGACAATATACATGTGTGTATTTGCATACGCATCGAGTGCATACGCACGCAGCAATTTAGGCCCTGTTTATACCGCTACGCGTGCCCGTTTACTCTTAGTATAAATAGTCTACCTACGAGGCTGCACGTGTATACCTAGGTATCGGTATTTTGGTATACGCGCGTGTACGTTCCTATCGTTCGCGTCGTTCCTTCGACTGCACGTTTCTCGCAATGTGTCCATGTACAGCGCGTGTACAGTACGTTTCGTTTATCTCATATATTTCATGTTCATATATGTATATGTATATATATATATATATGTATGTATATATATATATATTTATACTCGATTCTTCATCAAGTTGGTAAAACAATTATTTACATAACGTTGTAATAAGCTATTACTATGACTAGACGTATTGACGTTTCAGGATAATTCTGGAAATATGTATAACAACGACAAGAGACGTTAACAGAGGGAGTCCCGAGTTGCGATCCTGCAGGAATTGATGTCGGTCGCCTTTTATCGCCTTTTCTATCGCCTCGTTATTGTTGTTTCCACAGGTTCGTTGTACGAGTCTTATACTTTCATCGTGTCACCGTGAAACGTTGGACGCGCGCAATACCCGTTGCACGCGCTGCGCGTTCACGCGATAAATGTTAGACAATTTGTTCGTTGATCGTTTACCTAACTTGAAACTAAATCTACTTGCTTTCACCTATACAGAGATAGTATAAAATGCTATGCGACTCTACGCGTATCTACTCGTACTCCAATTCTATCGGATGGTACGCGGAACGTTTGGCTCTCGATTACATCGCCCATCGATTCAATCCCTGCGGAGCTACTTAGAATTAGTTAGAAGCGATCCGCGAATTTCTTCGTCTATTATTCGACTGCGAACCGTTACAAAATTACAAACACGAAAGGTATAGAAAAATATATTGGTCTGGGTTCATGTAGAGAGCTGTGCTGAGAGGTGTATCTCTATCGAGTGCGAGATGATTGGCAATACAATCGTAGATACAACGTTCGAAAAGATCGCGAACCGCGAGAAATAAACCTTTTCAGAAATCCGTTCGATCGACTAATGAATCGCTAGAAATTGTCAACCGTAAACTGTAAACCGTCAACTGTAAATCGTAAACTCTAAATTGTAAAATGTAAAATGTAAACAGAGAATTTCTCGGGCATTCCCTCTCATTAATCGCAGGTACGCGGACGTATTGACTCGACGAAGACAAAATATATGTATTGCGTAGAGGAAGAAGGAGGCATTCGTGAAACTTACCTACTTTGTCGCAGCTAAGCTAAACGCACATTCTACGATATTATATATTACGTAGTATCGGAATATCTGAGAGCGTATGCACGCGCGGGGCGCCTATGTGTCGCATACTATATATAGTATAGATCACAATATAAAATCTACGGTTATACAACAGTCAACAATGAATGTTTGTCGGGACATCGATTAAACATCGATTAAAAAAGGTGCGTCGTTTATGCTGTCTATCGACGACATATACTTTCCGATCCTGTACAGTGTCAGGCAACTCGACGATTTTCGCTTGTTCACCGTTCGAAAATTGGTGGACCCCGATAGCTAGACAGCGACAGGTAAGAGAAAAGGACGGGCAAAACCAGAATCTCTTGTTATCATCGTATATTGACTTTGATTTACGAGCTACGCGTGTTAAGGGCACCGAGAAATTGATCGCCGTTATTCTAACGCACTTCAGGCTAAATCTAAACTATTATACCGCTACGAGTTACCCCCCACCATGGTAACCAATTACGATTCACTACTTGCACCAATTTCCGAACACTCTTCGGAGCACGGTCCCATCGAACGACCGACGTCGTCAGGTGAACAACCGATTTTAGGAGAAGACGGTTCAATCCACGGAAGGAGAAACTAAACGCGACAATCGGAACAGATTGAACAATACTCGGAAACACGTTCCTCGTGATCCGCTTGGAGAATCGACGAATTCGATCGCGACTGCGTTATCGTTTCTCTTGGACGCTGTCGCGAGTGACGAGGCTCGCAAATTACAAATTGCCTCGAACGATTCCGACTGTGATCTCTGATTGCGAGCTCGTAACCGTAACCGTTACCGTCGATGCATTCGCAACCCGTCGAGATCCGATCAGACCGGACACACCATGTTTCGCAGAATAATACGATCACATGTACAATAGTGACAGTTGACCGTTCCGAGCGTCAACAATAACGAATACAAGCAGCGAACAAACACCTCAATCGTTCGATAATCGTAAACACGCAACTTTCCTGTTCTATCCTTATACTCTCGTATGCGCACAGATAACGCAGCGTCGCGCACATGCACGCTGAAGCATCTGCGCGATCCTCGAGATCCCTTGACGAATCGCGTGTCAGACGCAACGAGCCATCAACGAAACAGTCGTCGTAGTAAACGATGAATACTTTGCAATGAAAACTACATCTCCGCGCGCTAGTTTTCCTCGCTGGAAGAATAAAAAGTTGCCTCTTATGGTCTCGGTTAGGTGTCCGCCGCACACCGGAATCCATCTCCCGATGCACTACCCCTCTCCGGCGATCCGGGATGCGATCGAAACCTCGGAGGATCCCGTCGACGGATCTACGTCGCGATTCCATCTATTCACCGTCTTCGAATCCGAGCGGATCTCAAGGAACGTGCAGCGGAACGCTGTAGATACTTTCATCGGATAAGGCTGCGTAAATTATTGTCTTTTTCGTTACTGTTCGTGCTCGTTCGACAATCGTGTTGTTTTCATCTTTCCGTTACATTTCCCACTTTTCGACAGATTCATTCCCATTTGTCCAACTCGAAACGAACAACTTGCGTTGGTTGGTTCATTCGTTCGTTGCACCCGGCGCGATAATATTATCACTAGTAGAGACAGATATTCCCTTTAATCGCGGAATTCAGACGTACATGGAATATTTCCGAGCACCGTAGATTCACATCTTGTCGAGTGCACGCCTCTCGCATCCTTTCCTCGTTCTTTCCTTCTTTCCTTCCATCCTCCCCTCCTTCGATGCTCCGGAATTTTTGTTCTCTTTGTTCAAAGGAATATTTGTACGATGAAACTAGATAACAGTCGGTGTCTTTATCATTGACACCCCTAATTGTTCCAGTGATTTGTCGTTAAAAAAAAGGAAAAAGAAGACCAACAGAATCTACGGAAAATAGAGTTTTCGAGGATCGCTCGAACTGTTTTCAAGACGGATATATCACCGCGTCGCGTCGCGTCGTTTCGTTAGTTTCGATCGCAAATATTTACATCGACACAGTCGTATGAAAAAGTAATGATCGAAAGTCGCTAATTAAACGCAAGTATGTAGGATCGAGAGATCGGTGAACGCGCATCACAGTAAAAAAAACGTTGTCGTCGCTAGAAGAATATCGTTAGTAGAGGACACGGTGGTACCAACACGCTGGCAAACTATCTCGTTCGAGTCGACGATTTCTGCAACTTCCACCATCACATCGAAGATGCAAACTATCCGATCGATCCGAGTGCCCCTATTCAATTGTACCGCTACCGATTCTAGACTGTAGTAAGTTACTATTTAACAATCGCTCGCCGTAATACTGATAAATGTATTGTCCGTTTACATGGTATACGGAAAAGTTGCGAACCCACTAACAGCTGAATCCAACGAATCAGCTACTCTACAACATTCCTTTTCACGGTGTTTCCCCATTTCTATCGGAAGAATCAAGATCATAATATATCGACATTAAGCGTAAAAGAAAACGTTATTTCCGTCACAGTACAGAGACATTTCTCCATTTCGGACATACTATGCAGGAATAGCAAGCATCTATCGCTGGGAATTAGACGTTCAGTGTGGTTTCGTTTCGTTTCGTTTCGTTTCGTTTCTGAACTAACATTTACTGGAAGTAAGAAGCGATGAAACAGTGCAAACAAATGCGTCGCTTCAGTCTCTGCTGTGTTCCGCCAAAAGATTTCTGAGGGGTACGCGATACGCCTCTAGAAAGGGTAACCACAAATCGATATTATCCTGAAAAGGATACGCCAGCCGCGAATATTTCAATTTCACGTTGAAATGGAACATTTTGAAAACATTAAAGGGAAAGGAAAAGGGAAAAGAGCAAGAGACAGAGAAAGAGAAAGAAAACGAGAAAGAAAAAGAGAAAGAAACACAAGATAACATTCCGGTATCGTTGCGGCAAGTGTCTTCGAGTCTCTAAATAGCAGTTGTTCCTTCTGCACAGTAGGCATGCGACATGGCGCAACGCAGCACGATGTTACGCGATCGGATGCAACGAGTAACAAAGTTATCAAGTATACTTTGCTTTCCACAACGTCCCTTTAAAACGAACTAGGACATACCGGGGGGTTCATTTCACCGAAGATATTCAACTCGTATAACGAGGCAAATACGATGAACACCAAGTACCAAAGCATGAGTACCACTCCATATCGTCGATCCAGTTTCCAGCCGTTCAAGTGAGTCGCTAGTACCAAAAATATCACCGTCGACAGCAGAGACACCGTTGAGTACGTTAAGCCTGCGCATCATAATATCAAGAGAGAGAGAAAGGCAGAGAGGTGGGCAGAAACAGGTAAAGAGTTGGGTAGGTCGCTGGTTAGCAGGTTAGCAGGCAGGGAAACGTACGAACAGACTGGTGGATGGCCAAGGTCAACGGAAAGTACAAAAAAAGGAACACAAATCGGAAGGTGAAGACAAGAGAAGAAAAGAGAAGAAAAGAGAAAGAGAGAGAAACGGATTAGAAAGAAGCACGTGGAAAATGAGAGGTAGCACGAGGAGTTACATCGCAAAAAAAGAAAATAAATAGGAGTCGCGTGGATCGAGGAGAATCGATACAGCAAACTGCTTACCTCGGCTGGTAACGTTCACGTGCGAACCAGGTTGTATCATAGCTGTCTGTATGAACCACGGAAGCCCGAGACAAACTAGAATATCGAAGACGTTACTGCCAACGGCGTTGCTTACCGCCATGTCGCCGAGGCCTTCTTTGATCACTGCCAACGAGGAGAGTGCGTCCGGCACGCTGACACCGGCAGCGACGAAAGTTAAACCCATCACCGTGTCGGGTATACCGAGAGTGCTGCCTGGAAAGCGAGTTGCCAATTTAACGATCGTTCGAGAATACCGATCGAGCGCCGTTCGCGAGGTGGCTCACCTATGATCGTAATCATCCACACCATGATGTAACTGTAGAAACTGATCCACACCATCGACACGCAGAATGTGAACGGATACCAGTTTCGGAACTTCTCCTGCCGACAATCGGGCATCGTCGCGCGGCACATGAAATGAATCGGATACACGAGTCCCCAAGTGAACAGGGTCCATTGACTGGCGTCGACGGGCCTCTCCAGCGGCGATGCCTCGTTGGGATCGGGTTCTTTGGCTTTGTAATACTCGGGTTGCTTCATAACCGGCGGTTCGTTCGATTCCGGCATAGCGCCTCCTTCTATCCCTCCTGCCATCAACGAGAATGTCAAACAAATGACCAATACTCGATACGTATATGTACAACCGAACATCTAGGTGTACCCGTCTAATAAACACCGCGAGCACACCGCTTACCCTCTTGAGTTTTATACTGATCCGTGACGGGCGAGTTCGGACCCGTGTACGACAATCGATCTTCCTGCAGCGATCTGTAACTGACCAGCGCGCTTTCTTCCGCCGGTTCGTCGTCCTTCGGAAGGAACGGTATATTGTACGACTTCGCCCACCGTTCCAGTCGAGCGTTGAAAGACAACACGACGCAATACACCCCGTACATGATCAACATAAACAAAGACTCCATCCTGAAATGAAACCTCTGTCGAAATTCTATTAAAGTAGAATATTTCGATGGTTGCAGGGACGCGACCGTCTTACCAGGATATCGATTCGTTGTAAATTGTACCGAGCATAACCAGTATGGATACGGCGTAGAAGAAACAGTCTCGGCACAGGGGCCACCAATTCAATTTGGACACCGTTGTCGTGCATAATCCACAAACCGAAATCACGAACATTATATTGAACACCGCGCTTCCGATCACGCCGCTCACCTGTCGAAGTGGGAATAATTAGCATGTACGAATCGAGTAATACCAGCGCTAATACACTCACTCCGATGTCGTCCTTCGCGAAGAACACTCCAATGACGACGGTCGCTAGTTCTGGAGCCGACGAGCCCGCGGCCATAAAAGTTGCGCCGGCGACATCCGGAGACAGACGCAGCTCTGCGTGGAAAAACTCGTGAACGAATGTAAACGAAACGACTGTCGTCGGAGGGTATATCTTTGCTGACCTTCGCAGATTCTGTCCAAACTGGAGACAAAGTAGTCGTCGCAAACGATCGCGAGCCCCAAAAACGTGTAAATAGCAACCAGTATGTGTATAATCAATCCCCCGTGTTTCCTAGCGTTCGGTCCCATCAACGGCCTTGGAAATTGTTCGATAGCCGGTGGTGAACAATTCTCTCTCCGCGGTCTCCAAGTTGCACGCTCGTACTTCACCGTGGTCACCGCTAGTGGAGCCTAAAATCTCAAATTACAGGAATATCTTTTCCATTGATTTTCCCGGCAACGGGCAAAACTATGCGCCGCGTTACCCTACCGTTGTGGTTCTCGGGGTGTTCTTCGTCGCAACTGCTGGAATGTCCTTCTTCAAATCGGTCCCCTTCCCCTGCGAGTCCTCCTTCGACTGTCCATGGACTATCTTCGTTGATTTGTCTTGCAAGGTTTTTCGTTCCGCGTTCTTGTTGCCTTTCGGCTCGCCCTTCTCGGTGTTCTCTCGCGGATTTACGCTCCCCACCGATGTCGGTTTCTCTTCGTTCGTCTTGGTCTCCGCCACGACGGTGCCCACCTCCAAGGTGCTGGACTCCAAAGTTGTTTCCTCGGTCCAGCTCTCCTCGTTCTCCGTCCAACTGGTCGGGTAAGTGGAGGGCGACGTTTCCTCGTTGGATACCTTCGTGGAGGTGACGTACTGCACCAGAACGTAGACGAACAGCAGACCGAAGCGCAAAGACCATTTTTTCCGTGGAAAATTGTTATGCAACCGATGGTCCCTCATCGTTCTCGACTGAAACATACCGGAGGGACCGCTACAATCTATTCCTTGCTGCGAGGCAAGCGTTAAACACCGCGATCTGTTACGATTGCTAGTTTCGAGACAGCGGAAGGATAAACAGTTTCATGTTGTGCCGTCGCGCTGCCAGCGTGACACTCTCGCGATATAATCGACAATTTCACCGAAACATCTAGATCCCTTCGAATCGCTATGTTTTTCCACGACGCACTCGTATCGATTCTAAAGGCATGCCTTGAAACACGCAACATCGCTGCCGTACAATACATACGCATATACGCATGTACGTATATACGCATGCGACAGCAACTTAAGCGATGTCGATCAGTTCCCACTGTCAAATGTTATCAGAATTCTTGGCACGCTTATAGTGTATTCGGTAGATGCGGAAGCTGACGCAACGACTCCTTCACCGAGAAATCAAACCGCGTTTGCATTTTTGTTAAATTCATTGCAACGTCCAAGGATTTCTAAGGTCACGTGTGCACGTACGCGATACTCTCAACTGCCACTGCCACTGCCGTATATTCATCGCGGACGAATTAGACGGAGCAACAAAGTTTCCTTACAATAAATAATCGATCGCGACAGATAAGCATCTTCGCTTCGCTTTTTTCAAGCGATTCTTCCAGATTCTTCTAGATTCTTTGAGACGGATCGATGCAGCGACCGAATCTAACGTTAACAAGATATTAATAACATTTTCGAGCGTAGCAAAGGAATCGCGTACTGCTGCTCGAATTCTCCGAGGAAACATGCGCGTGCGTCTATCGCGAACAGCAAATGCGCGAACCTAAAACCATGGAAAAATTGAGTTGACGTTGAAACTGACCTAGTTTAGTACTCGCAGCGACCATTATACGATTCGAGCGAATACATCGGAGCTTGTACCCCGTCTTGCTCGTTTTGCAGAACGTTGCACGTTATGCAAACCACCCGTATCGACGTCCGGGCGTAGAAGCGAACGCGGCGTCGATCACGGGTAAATGAGAAAAATTCGACGACCTACGATTAGACCGACTGCGTCGTTATCTCGACGGAACGTACGCAATGATCAGCTCCGCCGGGATTTCACCGTCGTCGATTACGCTAACCGAGCAATCGTCGGCAATCAAGGACGAATCGAATCATTTGAAAACCCGACGAAAGAAAACTTTATCATCGCGGTGCACGAAAATTATTGATTTGCATAAAAGGTACGGGTTGCGATGCGTCGACGACGCGTTCGCGTGGTGGCACGTAGGCGACAAGTAGGCGACAAGTAGGCGACACATACATAACTGACACGTAGTCGACGGTTTTCTTGGTTACGTAGGTGTCGTGCTGAACGAACAACCCCTCGAGACGAACGGTTCCCTCGAAACTCACCATTTTCCTCGTCGTTGACATCGTTGCGCCGATATTTCACTTCGGCAAGGTCCTAAGATTCTTTAGGCTGGATGCTCTCGCATTCCTCGCTCGCTCGTTTTCTCTTCAACGACTAAGCACTCTAAAATCTCCTCCGCTTGTTCCCGTTCCCTTTACCGTTCCCTTCTCCGTTCCGGTTCCCGTTCCCGTTCCCGTGCAGCTCGCCTCGCACCCCTTAGACGTGATCTAAGCTACTCGGCCCGCAACTGGTTCGCACGAAGCCACGGTTTTCCGCTGAGATTCTCGAGATACAACGCACCGTTTAATGTCTGTCTTCCGAATATGAGAACGGTGTTCGGAGCGCTTACGTGGTGCTCCTGAATCAACCACCCCCGACTTCTCTCTCTTCCTTTCTCTTTCCACCCCTTCCTTTTCCGTTACCCCTTCCTCGCTTCGACCACCCACGGTGTCACTAACATCGCGTGGATACGCGTGCGCTTCGCTCCCGAAACTCGAAACGTTGCGGCAACCGCGCGCGTAACCTTTTGAATCGTACGCGAGGTCGTGCAAAGTCAAGAACGGAGACGGAAGCAGAGAAAGGAGAAGCGGGACAACGGGGAAATTATATGGAACGAGTGCGAGGCAAACTCAACGATCGATTTGCTAAATTTCTCTGACACGAGAAATAAAAGTTGAAGGGAGGGAGAAATCGCGAATCCAATCGCAACAGAACAGACCTATCGGTGCCGCAGTCGCCGCGCTGCTTCAACATCATTTGTTCGTTCGTTTCGACGGTTTCGTCTCGACACACGCCATACGTCAATGTCCAACGTGAAACACCGTCTTTCGGATGGCTACAGTGAAACACTCGACATTGAATCGATGGACGAAAACGAGCGAATTTCTTTGTCATCCGCAACTTTTCGCGTACGAGGCGAAACTGGTGAACGCGAGCGTAATCGTAACTGCTACCGTAAATCTTATAGTAGCAGTGACGGATAATGAGAATTTAATCTCGATGATACGCGTATATTATTCTATGCTCATAATATATGTATATATAAAAAAGTCCTTCAATCGGTCAACGTTGGAACATTTAAATATTTATTGCGAGAAGAAGCACAGCATTCGAGTAGAGTTTACATATCAATTATTTATAAATATTCTGCGACCTGTAGAAAATTCAAACTCGAGAAACATGCACCGCGGATTTCCGTATTAACTAGGGTTCTGATTAAATTTCACAGAATAACCGCCACTATTCGGGTCTTTTTGCAACTCAAAATTATTCGTGGAAAGTCCAAAAGGTTTCAACACCATGTTTCCCAGGTCTTTCAGTTTCCCCAGCATTTCTGTTTTCAACTTTTCGTTTCTTTCTTCTATCAGTCGAGCTAGTTTCTGCAAGCGTACCACACTTGTATATACTCGTAATTGTAAATACTTTGCACCAGTGTCGGGCAACCTATTACTACTATTTTTACTTACGTGAATCTCCTGTCGCGACTCTACGTTATCGGGATCTAAGGAGTTTAACTTTGTGAAATCTTCCATGGCTTCGTCCAACTTTTCCAACTCCTTGTACAAATGCGCCCTCCTAACGATAGCTTTCACGTAAGTTGGATTTAATTCTATGGCTTTGGTACAATCCGATATCGCCGATTCTTTTTCCTACACGATAAACATTTCACACGTCATAATAGAAATTTGGAAGGTTTTACGCTATCGTCGAATATACCCTTAACTATTATACAAAGTTTTCGCATAACAATGTTACCAAACATTTTGACTTTGCCGCTGCTCTGTTCGCGTAGAGAATAGACCTCTCCTTGCTGTATGCCAACGGACATGTTTGTATTCCCTGTGTGTAAATCGATATCGCCTCTACGTATTCTCCGCTTTTGAAAAGTGCGTTACCCCGATTTTTCAATTTCTCCGCTTCGTCTCTGAGAGACTGGAACAAACCAAGGTTAGTGGTGAGCTGGAATACAGAGATGTTGGACCGTCAACGGAATTCAATCAAGAAACATGTAACAAACTTCTTTTTCACTTTCGGTGAGATCAATCTCTCTGTCTTTCAATAACTCCTCGTCGACAAAATCTCTCGGAGGTTCCGTCGTGTCTGGACCGTGTGGATTTTGAGCTGTACACTTGGCGTTGTTGTCCTTGGTGTGTTTACAGGTCTCCTTCGGCGGACTGTCATTACTCGCATCCGACTCCGCGCATTTGTTGCTCGACGTACAGTCCTCGTCCACTCTTAGACACGAACTTTCCAGGTCTTTGGTAAGCTCCTCTATAATCTCCTCGTTGCTCTTCAAACCAGGTTCGGAACTGCTGTCCATTATAGTACTAACTGTGCGTGTGCGTCTGAACAAGTTGTAACGTTGAATTTCGATTTGTTCGACTCGACGATTTCACGTAGTTGCCAAAGGAACGAGGTTAATTTCAATGATACGATACCTATCAGCGCACGCGACCAACCAAATGATCTGTCAACCCAAACGCCATGACGACTGACGTGCGCCGACTGGCGGTTGTAGCCCACGTTGACGTTACTGCTCTTACCCGCGGTCAATACACATGGTAGATCACACGTAGCGTAAAGTACACGTTTATTAATCGACTCACAGAGTCACGGAATATTTTCGAAACACTTGCTATAATGCAAACATTTTATGTCAGCCGAATGATGTAAATAATAAATAGAAATAATTGCCGTACACGAAACCGATACTCTAGACCGGTTGCGTCATCCGTGGCAAAATACTGAAACTCGCGGACGAACGTTATCGACGCGGGAGCACAGCCCGAGGAACGGTGACGACATCTAGCATCAAAGCACATTTCACACTCGTCTTAGACCACGGACACGCTCCCTTTGCGTCGCTCTTTTAATATTTATCCCGCAGTGAAACGTGCTGCTCGACGATGCAAAGAAACATCGGAAACGTCACGGAACGATTTCCTATTAAGGATAACTGTACACAGCTACCTATACAATTACGTCCATCCTCTCGAATACATGTTTCGGCACAGGTACACCCACTCGTGTAGCACTCGATGCGGCACAGCACGCGTCTCGTAATTTTCGATACAAATAATATGCATAAATGCTTGGAGAAGAGTAATAAGAAAAACGATCGTAGTCGCGCGTAGTAGAAATGTAAGAAAGGGCAGACGAACAAGGCGATCCTGCTTGGTATTATTGCCGCGAACCTATGGTTACGGTACGTGCTCCCGTCTCATCATCCTTTCCAGCTCTCCCGACTGATTGTCTTCCCGGCCAGCAAATAAACTTCATTTAACTGAATAGAGACATTACTTGTCAACAACGAAGAAATTATTCGAAGGTTTTGCTCTCGTGAAGAATAGAAAAATCGAAAACCAATTACGCTATTGGGATGCAATATGCAAATTTGTAATTCTAACATAACATATACGATATATTCGGAATTATTAATAAGTTTCAGCACGAAGTTGTAATAATTCCATTGAATCGGTTGATTCACTTGCGCCTACAAGTGGGACTGGCGAGAACACTTCAAATGAATATGCCACGCGAATTAATTGTATTCGTCGCGTGCGCTGTAAACACATTACCCCGACTGGAGTGGTTCGTCTAAGAGACTTTGCTAATTCTAGCACTGGTAAAGACCGAGGAGAACGTGTTTCGCGTTCCTTGTTTTTAAAAGGCGAAAAGGCGTTCGTTTTGCAAACGCGTCAGTCCGATTTGTCATTCGTTTGTTTCTTTGATCGGCGAAGAAACACTGGTCCGGGGATCGAACCGAGAAGGCAGGCGTACCAGAAGTCGAAGTCGTTTGAATTCAACGAGCATTTCGTCGACTTCGTTTCGCCCGTAATGGGACGCGTTAAGCGAGCGATAGGTTTACATCTTGCTCGATGCAGACTCTTCTACCTCATCGTCGCACGATCAATCGTCGAAACGATTTACCGACAACACGTAGAATTATCGGTAACCGTCGTGTTAAATGATAAGGCCAAGCGTGAAATTCATGATTCGTCCAGTCCTCGGTCCGATAGTATTCGCACACTTGTTCCCTTGAAAACACTCGTACGTATGTATGTATACACAGAGCGTAGGTACTGTAGATTTTGATGAAAACAGTCGTATCGTTCTCCAGGTTTTTTTTTTCACTAGTTCAGTCTCGGTTTCATTTGCCGGCGACTCGATCGAGTTCTCGCTTCAGCTCGATGGTATCGGTACTCGTTCCATTTCCAGCTTGTAAATATTTCATAGAGAAAGCTTAGGGTTGTTTGCGTGTTTTTTCACGCACGTTTATCGCACGCGTAAGTTTCGCCGTTTCGTGCACCGTTCCGCACATATGTACACGTGTATCTGCATACCGAGGCGCTTGGGTATCGAGTAAAATGAACGATCCTTCCATCTTCGGGTTTACCGGACCGCGAGAAACGATCGGAAATCGGTCGTTTCGTCGTTGCTGCTGTTGCTGCTACTCTCTGTTAATCTGTCGTTAATATGTTTAGTCGAAGGAGAAACGTTAGCAATCCGATTCTCATCGTTTCATTTTTAATCTTGCAATTAGCATGCTCTGAAACCTTTGGTAACGAACGAACGAACGAACGAACGAGAGGCGTGCGACTCTTTTGCAACGCAAAACAAGCGAATAAAAATTGTAGAGTTGAAATTATACTTCGGAGGAATCGCGGAAAGCGCAAGCGGTAGTCACCAGGGTGTATTTTCCTTGGAAGATGGTAACGGTGCGCGACCATGGTAGATCGAGCGTGTAACTAATGCCAGTTTCTTCTAGTATAAACTGCATACCGAATGTCCTCGAACTCTACGGGAACACAGTCGCTGCTCTACTACCGCGCTCACTCGTACACCTCTCCTTCCTTCGTATCCCGGCTTTCGCATCTTGTTTCCGAACAATACCGTAACTATCGCATGCAACGTTATAGCAGAACGGAAGACGCGAGTTTTCCTCCGTTTCCGACGCTCTTCTCCTATGTTTCCTTTTCCTCCGTTTTCATCTTTTTCCGTGTGTTTCTCCGCGTGTTTCTCCGCGTGACGGTTCGCGACGAAACGTTTACACTCGAATCACTCGAATAGATTCGTTTAAACAACGTTAACGAGATACCTGTGTTCGATTCGATCGACGACCAACGAGACCATCTGCTCCCACGATTTCGGCTTATCTATCGCGGACCGCTCCTGTTTCACCGTACAGCTCCATTAACTTTGTTTGTCGTGGGTAACGCGATTCAGAAATTCGTTCGAACGCGCTGAACGCAATGCTCCTTCCCTGAAAGATATCTGGTTGTAACGTCAGTTGGGTTTAATCAAATTGCAAATTCTAGATGGATACGTATACGGCATATGCTTGCCTCGGCTTCCTGTTAACGAGTAGATCCCACGAGTACGCGATCGATTTTACCGATCAAGAGAAAGCACGGGTTTTAGGCTAGTACAGGAAACGTTCAACGACAGGAAAAAAAGTGTTGGACTTTGAAAGATTGCGAATCCGAAGATTCTAGCAGGTGGCTAGAACGTGTCCAACTGCGATGAAAAGAGTACGATCGGATTTGTATCCCTAACGCAACGGTGGTGCAAACTCTGCTCTGCTATTGGTCCCAGTGACCTGTGACGTCACTACGCCGGCCTATGTATAAGGTGAACCACGCGGCGCGCCAGTTCATCGTTGTCCGTCACGTCGAGCAGGTCTTACCTTCGAACCACTTGAGCTTTGTTCCGCGAATCGAAGGGACGCGTCTTCGTTCCGTTCCGATTCGTCTCGTCTCGTCCCGATCGCTCGGGCAAACCGCCCTTCCGCTTGCTTTGGGCTGAACAGATACTCTTTGTATCTTCTGTCTACCACAGAAAGGTAGGAGATCATCCGTACGTTTTTATCCATTTAACGCGACATTCGATCGGGAAGCGGCAACGATCCTTCGATACTTTGATCGTTGCGACTGGTACAGTTTTCACAGTTGAACGTTAGAGAAGCTTTCCGTTTCTTTTTTCTTTTTCTAAAAATTTAATAACCAGTAGAATATGTAGAATGCAGAAACGAACGAATAATGCTTCAGGCAGAGTAAATACTCTTCCCGTTGAACGAGAACGAAGGACGCGATCGAAACGACTTGATATTCTTGTAGTCGTTTCGATTAACGATACAGAAACAAAAGCGGCTAAATATAAAGACACGTGAAAGGTTCGGGGTAACGTGCCGCTGTGTGTCCAACAATTTGATAAACGCTCAATTACCACTTTCCGTGAAGAAATGTTCAATGAAAAAGAAGCTTCGCGCGCTATGGCATGTTTCGTTCTTCCGCTGGTTGTTTAATTCTCGATTTCCATTTAGTATTTCTGGCAGTCTTCACGGATCGTGAACGCGTGCGTCTCGTATAGTTTCGTCCTTGAACGGGTAATCGTAACAGTACCGTGTAGCTTTCAGCAGATAAAATACCCACGCGTACCCCGTGCATCTTTTACAAAAGGCAAAGTTCCTTCGAAACAATAGGTGTATCGTCGTGTGGCGTATTATCGGCACATATGCATGTACAGTAGAGTACAGTACAGTACAGTGCAGTACAGTGCAGTACAGTACAGTAGAGTACAGTACAGTACAGGTACGGAATTGCTCTCTTCAAAGGACACGAGAAACATTTTAACATGGCAGAATCGTGAGACGCGTTTGCCAGTACTCCCGAAGATCGGCAACGAAAGGTTGCGGAAACTTTGCAGACACGTGAAAAATCTTTTCGATTTGAAATTCCTACACAAGCGGAACGTTCGCTTGGCCGATCTAGGGAAGAGGAAACGCGAGGGGGGAGGGAGGGTAGAAGAATCCCTGTAGTGTTACGCTTCGAGGAAAGAACACTGTATAACCGGTGAAAACTAATTAAGATATTCGTTGGCACGTTTCAAAGGTGTTGGTCGTCGTAATGAAGCGACGCTTTAATTTGCCGGGGCGGAATTCGTTTGGTTACCTTGGGGAACGCAAACTTCCGTTTCGAATTGTCCACCGTGTCCAGGATAATTGAACGTACCTTGGGACGTACTTTAGAATCCCTCCTCGCGGTTTTATTAGCCCTGCTGGCCCGCTGCTTCGCTCCGCGTACAATCGAAATTCGTTGATGCAATTCGAAGCGTTTACGTTTCCGGGGACGCAAAAGTGAAAGAGAAACTTGTCGCCATTCGTCAAGAAATTCCTGTTCACACGATACAGCTGCGAGTGTACCGGTAAATTGGTCGGCAAAACAAAAGTTTTCTCCATTTTCTGCGACGCGTCGGCGAAAAGAAATATACGCGAGTATTTGGATGTTAATTCGAGTTGCAGGAAACATCCTGCTTACCGAGAGAACGCAACGGCTCGGTAACGGTGAACAAAGTTAAAGCTAATTGTTCGGTTATCTTGAGCGTTGGAGCTTGTTTTAATTAAAAGTTCCGCGGTCGGATACAAAACAGATGCTGCGCAATCCTGACACTCGGCGAATTTATTCCAACGATAACACCGAAGCGAACTGTTACGATTATAAGGAGCATTCCTAAGATCGAATCGAACGCGGTTCGTTTGCGCGTTTGCATCTTTGGAAGCGCTTGCTTTCAATCGGAGATGTAGAAACGAAAGCGCATCCGCCTTTCGTCCGCGCAACTCTGTCGGACGTACATATGTCGGGCTCTACTACTGATCGTGTGTCTTTTGCGATCGTTCGTTTCGTCATACGTGCGGTAATATCATCCACGGACGCGCGAGACGTCGAGGCAAATTTCCGATCCGTAAACACTGATAAACGAGAAGATTGCTCTTCCGAAATTATACGAGTGAGCCTCCATTTACGCGGCCCCTTGTCTACGCGCGATATCAATTCGCGCGACCTGGATTTAGCGTCGCAGAATCAAATTTACTTTTCTTTGCTGATACATGTCGATAGTATTATTGTTTCCTTAAGTCGCACGAATTAAATGTGTATTTCTAAGACTCGTACGACAGCTTTTCTTTCGAGTATTTTGTTTTCTTTTGTACCGGCAGACTGTATTTGCACGGTTTCCATTCGCATTAAACGAATCCACGCGAAACGGACATAATAATTTCAAGAGTACGCGAAGAAATTTCTTTCCGAGTAAAACGCAAACGAAGCTTGCCGGGTTCTTTCGCAGTCTGTTCGTAACAGCCCGCGGCTCTGAAAATTTGCAGATCGCCTGAAAAGTCCTTTCCACCGAAAGGGACCACCCGTCAAAGATTTCACAGCAATTTGCAACTATAATACTCGTTTGAACCAGCAAAGAAATTTCTTCCATTATGCATTGAATTTCGCGGTACAATCGCTACGTTTATTACGCGAGCAACATTCACGGTCTCGTTCGCTCAACTTTCGAGGCTCGAGACTCGCGGGACGAGTAATCGCTTAATGGCCGAACGAATAATTTTTGATAACGCATTAAACGATTCGCGACAAACCGAATGCAACGTATCGGTGGAACAACCGTGTCGACAGGAACACTAACCGGTCGTCGAACCTAACCAAGACCGATGTAGTTCGATGCGGCGAACGAAGAGATACCGTCCAACATTATCTTTAACGACCGTAGAAGGATTTTGAGTGGACCGTGCCTCCTCCAAGTCTTTCGGCTCGCGAATTGAAACATTCGAGAGAGAACCTGCGAAGCGCGATGCGACATGCGCTGAACGTATCAAGCCTGTTAAATACCCTGTCCATTATCCACAAGAAATACAGAGAATAACGGATGGCGAGAAAACGTAAGAGAATGCGTGACACACCACTTGTCACACTTTCCTTTTGTTGGAAGACACCGGGAAAAGAATTTCGGAAGAGGTCGTGCGTGCCCCCGAGCTGTTTGACTCGTTTCATTGTTTTATCGTTTCATTGCTTCCGCTGTTTCTTTGGCCAAACGACTCGCGCGTTGGCTACTGCAGCGGAACTCGTTTTCGACAGCTGAGTCGATGACAAACTTGTATCGTTCTCTTCGATATTCCGACCCGGAGCAACAAACTCCGAGCAGAGACATTCCGACGAGACTAAAATCAATTTAGCTACGCAATTATGTATTACGGGGGGCGAAAGATGGCGTCGGGGAAGGAAAGAGATTGAATGAATTTCTTATACTCTAATGAACATCTTATGCTCCTATAACTTGTATAATCCGAAACGTCATGAAACACCGCGAAGCGTCGTTTCGGCGTCCCGAGACATTATCGACAACGAGTCCTGTCTCAACTGTTCCCGAGCAACAGAGGAAATCATTCGTCCGACTGTTCGCGTGCCAAGAATCCACAATAATATTGTACAATCCACTGCCGAAGAGCAAGGACAGTAATCACTATAAAATACGCGACATCGTAATACCTCCTCTCTGTCGCGAGATTATTCGAGCCCTCGACAAACCTAAGAACAATCCTTTTCCCAGTGGCGGCTCTTTTTCATTCTCCCGTTCATCTCGCGTTTTCATTCGTGCATCATCTTCGAAATATCCAAATCGTCGAATTGGAATGCCCTCGGATATATTTAGAATCCATAATCCTCTTTGGAAACGCTTTGAAAGCGATTTGAAATTGCTTTGAAATTACAGAATCCTGTGATGCGAAACGATACGCGATCCCTGATCCGCGATACGCGATACGCGATACGACAGTGTTATCCGAATACCGATTAACGCGAAATATCGTTTCATGCGTGGCAGGCCGAGTAACTGATCATTCCCTATTCTTCCTTACGAGAGATAGAGATCCAACGTACAGCTCTTTATCCGGTTGGACGTCCCCCGGCAAGCTGATCGATCGATGCTTGAAAACTCGAACCAACCGAGCATCATCCGCGGGACATTTTCTTTTGAGAACTCGTTACTCCGTTATCGCAGGCTGGCCAATTGTTTCGAAAATCTATTGTCACCCCGCGTAAACTCGGCGAGGACGACATTCAGTCTGCGGTGCTTCTCGTAGCTGCCATATTCAGAAACACGAAACAATAAGTCGGCTCCGCGACGATGCAAATGGGGGTGCAAGATTTGCTTCCTACAAATTTCTCGTTGGCGTCGGCGTCGGCGTCGGCGTGTAACCCTAAGGGGCCAGCATCGCTCGCGATCAAAGGTTTTAGGTCACGCGATGCAACAGGGACTCGGTCATTCGAACGGCAGCGTAACGCAATTCGAGCAGCGCAGCCTCTTCCTTCGTGCGAATCGAGCTCCTTTTTCACGGTTCAGGAACGATCGAATGGAGAGGATCGCGGTTAACGCGGTGGCAAGATTACTCGCCGATCAGGAATCACAAAGGAAATCCAATCGACGAGCGAAAAATGCTACCTCTAGCTCCGAGTGCTTACGTATGTGCATCGGTGAATCTGAAAAAGAGGATGAAAGCTATCCTATTAATCTCGATTCAGTCGCTCGATGTTTTTTTTCATACGCGCGTGCACGCGCTACAGGTACACATGCGATAAAGAAGCGATAGCCATGGGTATTGACATTTTTATCGACAGCGTAATGTCTTTACAGAAGACTGTGGTAAAATAATGTGTATACGTGTTGTTACATTAGTCGTGGTTGTTCTTTAAAAGGTTTTAAATTGAGTGTGCGCGGTCGTGCATATACTTGGTAAATACGTAGGTGCATAAAAACAAAACGCATTGTTCGTCGGACGCTTTACAGGCGCGTGATCTTTCAATAACGACCCAGCTATTTAATCGTTATTACTCGCACATTCTATTTTCTTTATTTTCCTTTCTTTTTCCTTCGCTTATTATTGCAACATTCTTCGAATATTCCTCGAGTCGAAACCCTGAGTAACGCGTACGTGTTAATTTACTTACAACAAACAAGTAGGAAACGAAGCGATTTGAAAATCCAAGAGTAGAAGGGTGAAAG